GTCCGTGCTCCTCGGACGGAGCAGCGTCGGCCCGCTGAGGGCGGGTGGTGAGAGAAGCCCTCGTCGCTCTGGGCGCTGGGCCGCGGCGGAGCCTCCTTTCATCCCCTGAGCGCTGCAGACCGCAGCTCCTGTTAAATTTAAGAGGTGTTTCTTGCTTCGCTGTTTCGTATATGTGGGCTGTTTTCGGGTGCTGATGCAGCCGGTGAGGCAGGTCACAGAGCGCTGCTTGAAAACACCTGAAGAGTTGAACTCGGATGCAGAAGTCAGCCTCGGGAGTCTCTCCTTCCAGGAAAGATGTCTGAATATTATGTTGATGTGTCAAGGACCAAGTGTTGAATTTAAGACATCGGGCTATTTCTTGGGTCCAGAGTTTTGAATGTGATTTGCCATTGTACCTTTATTCATCAGTTTGCTTATCTATAGGAGCTTTCATACCATGATAATAGAGATCATATAATATACAAATTTCCTCATGACTTAAAATGTTTTCTCCTCTGTGTAACAAGCACTCGTATCACAGACTGCATCTGCTCTTCATTTCCTAATTCATTGAGAATGAATTTTGGATGTTTTGTTTATCTCCTAGTGGCGACAGTACCTAATCCTACTGAAATTAACTGGGTTATCACTTAACTGCCTGGAAAAGTCTTGAGCAAGGGCTAAAATGCTGGTGCTGTTATTGCATTCAGGATGATTGTTCTTGCGCAGTTCGTATTTGGGAAGTTAATTGCCCAGGGTTGTTAACTAGAATTTAATCTGTCGTTATTGATTAATTTTAATCAGGAAACATTTTTTGGTTCTGTTGACCAGTATGTAACACACACCTTGTGGATGTACTCAAGCCATTCGCTGAAAAGCCACTGTGTGGTCTAGATGACAGCTAGCAAGAGTGAGCTAAAGTGCACGTCAGAGACTGAAATTCCTAAGTTTCAGTTTCATTTACATTGCAGATCTTCCCACATTCTCTAGGAGGATGTTTTCCTCTGAACCTCTTCAGAGGTCATGTAAATAAATTATATGCCCTCAAAAAGTTATGTACCCTTAAAACTTGCATTTTGGAAAACCTATCTCGCATAGTAGTTTTTTTTTTTTCTTCTGTGTGTACCACTTA